CATTTTCCGGCAAAGGTCCTTTACCATCATCATCTTCCTAATCATCATGAACGGCGGTGGGGATCGCAGTAGCAGCAGCTTTAACAACGACGATGACAACAACAACCACAACGACAGATGCATCCGTGTGCCTTGTATTAACGTTTCCTCGCCTATCGATCGTTGCTCAGTAAGACCACCCTACTTCCAAGGCCTAGGGGGAATATCTTGATGGACATAGTCAAGGCGCAAATATGTTGCCAACACCATGCGACCGCAAATGGTTGACTATCGCTTACCACCGTGGCGACATTAGCAGAACTGCCTCATCGTGGATCTCAGTGCCCCGCTCCATTATACTGTACCACACATCTGACTGTATTGCAGCCACACATTTCTTATCAATTTTTTGTGTTCAACACAATATGGTAGTGCAATTGCAAATTGTCCCGTTTTTGTTAGTCTGTGACAATCTTATAACCTGCATACCTGCTATGATAGACTAATAGTAGCGGATACCTAGACCGCTTTACCTTTCTCCTGCACTGCTCTTCGCAAGCATCCCAGGTGTGTCCAGCAGAGGTACCCAGCTTGGTGTGTGCCATAGTAGCTGCCCGTCGGAATTAAGGTGACAAGAGGCCAATCAATTGCCGTTGATGCGCACTGAGCAATTTCACACAAACCGGGAAAGCGGATCATAATTGACCCAGCGTTGAGCGCGCTGCTTGGTCACGAACATGAACACATGTTACACGAGCAACACGGACGCAATGCTGGTTGGTGTACAGAGCAACCGTTGGTGACGGTTAGCTAGCAAATGTGAAGCAAATCAGACGCCGTCGGTGCGATTTGACCGTGATGGTGCCGACCAGACGGGTAATAGGGATAGGTAGAAATTCGTCACATCTAGACTCAATCAGACAGCCATCACATGTCTGGAAAAGCACTATACGCGCGTTTCATCATTTCGGGAATCGCCGGCAGTGCGCGTTCTATCGGACCCCTGGTAGGGCTCGAACCCGCAACTCGACTGTTACCAGTCCATGGTTGAGACCATTTGGCTACGAGGGACGGCAACGACCATCGTGAATAAGTTACTAGATGTGATATAGCGCCGCTCACTGTCCACTGACTTGCACGTTACTGCCGTGCAGAGGACAGGGTATCTCCTACCCCAAGGAACGAGCTTACCAAGTGTAAGAGACCAATTAACTTATGGCAAAATAAACAGTTTGATCTGTTTATTGATTACAAGAGAGTAATAGGTGGTTGAATAGTAAAGGTATAAATTCATCACATCTACCCTGTCCTCTCCATGGATAATTGATGCAGACAACCATGAGTCAAGCTGGACGCGGCCGTAGACAAAATACTATTGAACCGAACAGAGCAAACGGATGGCAAGTGCCAATCAATGAACACAGCCAGACGGTAGAAGACGAGGAAATGGAAGTGGTACGTGAGAAGCCGTCCCAACCTAACAGCGCTTTCAATTTTTGTACCCTATATATGATTCTTCGCTTTACGAATGACAAGTTTCGACCGTTGCCCCGGGACTCTTGGAGGGGATACACGACAGTGTGAACCACTTTGCCTGACATCTTTATTTCATTGTCGTGCTATTTTGATCAAACATAGGCCTTGTGCGTTGCTGGCCACACCCCAGTTGTCAGAAAAAATCAAAAGGTCATTTAAAAGTGGATCTTCAGGAACATAGTGTAGCAGGGTTTCTTCATCGGTATGTTTTCCGCTAGGTACTTGTAGTTTTCGCCATATCATTCCTGAGGTTTTCTGTAGAAAAACATTCCACGGTTGTTTCGAATAACCTAGCAGCAGGTTGCTTAACCGGTCATCTCTGAATCGCTCTCGAATCTCTGGACCCACGCATTTTTATTAATCTTTGCTTCACTGAATCGAAGCCGTTTTTCATGCAAGCATCGGAAAGGCGGTAAACTCTATGTCTAGTTACTAGACCGCTGAGATTACATTACATTACAATGTGAATAGCATGTTGCAGCGTTTTATAAGTCTCCATCAGAGGCGCTACATTATGCCTGCAACTCCGTTTCCTACGCAAGTAGTGCATATCCACTGCTGTAATTGTCCATTTAACATATGAAACACACTTGTATGCGGTAGATCTCTTTTGCAGCTCCTGTAAAAGTGTAACCCGTAGTATATCATCACTGGTGTGCCGGATGTACTTGTTATCCCCTGTTGAACTCAGTAGGTGCTTTCGTTTATCGTTTCAGATTAGCCCACAAGCAGCACTTGCCCGAACACTAGATATCCTATCGCTCAACACTTACTGCTTATCCGAGACCTGCCCGCAAGCTTCTAATTCTGTGATTACCCTGCGGTTCCCAACATGCAACACTGGCTGTATTTTATCATTGCGCTTGTCCGGAGAGGACGTAGCTTCAAATGCCAGTCAAGCTTGCGTTGGCATTGTTTTGCGTCCCTGGGCTGAAGCTGCCCTGATCGACTGGATCCCAATGAACATTCGTGTGTGGGCTATCAGATTGGCTGGTTCTTTCAAAGCATCAAAGTCGCTTGGGGACAAACGGTGCCTGCTTGTCATTGCGACCTACGCGCCCACAAATTGTAGCGCTGAGTCGGTGAAAGATAACTTTATCGCCAATTGAAGGAGCTCACAGAAGCAGCACGGGTACTGTGATGCTGACTGGGGATCTGAACGTACAACTTGGAAAATTTGTCTCGGATGAGTAGAAGTGTGTTCTTCACCCTCGACCAACGTGTATTGATGACTATGATTGGTTTATCGTACGTCGCTTGTGCTAATCGAATAAATGGGAGACTGTTTCCATTGTGCAAAAGCACAGTATTTGGACTCAGTTTCAAGAAGTCCACAGTCTCCTTGCTCGCAGCAAATGAATATTGAATAACGTACGGAATCAACAAGAAGAGATATCTCTTTGTAGCTGCGTCTAAAACCTCTCAGGTCCAGTAAACTTTTCCGTTGGAGAACATTCGCAATATTTCATGTTAACTAATTGTTTGTCCCAGAATTTCTCGAATTTATACACCGACCTTGCCTCAACTACGTGCGGCGCTAGGTTGCTTCATATATTCACTACTCTGTTCGAAGCAGAGTTTATGAGCGATCCGCTTCAAATCCGGTGTGCGCAGTGGCCTCAACATGGGGTAATCACCGAGATGTACTAGCCGGTGTGTCATAATTAGGTCGACCCACGGTCGACGATAAGATAGGATGTAAAGCCCTTGTCTCTTACACCGGTCTTCGTAGGATACCCCTTGTAAAATAGGGATAAGCCTTGTGACTACCACATGATGTACCCGCTCAATCCTTTCTACCTCGCTCCATGTGATAGGACAGTATGCGAGTGAGCCGTACTCTAGCCATCATGGTATGATTGAAACGAAGAGGCGAATGGTAGTCTCTTCGGACCAAGTGCTGAAGTTGCGCTTGTGCGCCAATTACCTACGAGCTTAGTTTTGTTAAAACCTATTGTTTTCCAGGAACTTTGATTTGGGATATGCGTTAGTCTTTTCTGCTTTCGGAGCATTACCGTGCTGTGTTAAGCCTAAAAATAAGATAATAGCAATTTTCTTTAACGGTAGCTTATGCTGTTTCGCAAAAGTATGAAAGACTTTAAATCCGCAACATTTCCGGCTGCGTATACTGCTGTTCATTGCTGATGTCACCTTGCTTCAGCAGCCACCAGAAATTGGTACTGTATTACACCGGAAGGCCGGTGACCGGATGGTTCAGACGTTTGGCTTGTAATCCACAGATCGTTGCTTTGAGCCTGGGTAGGCGCGGGCACTACTTCAGCTGCCCCCCCCCTCCCCGCTCGAGGCTGATAAGGGCCACTTGGAAATGAGACGTCAATGCGATGTTCTGGCGTACTGTCGATGCCTCACATTTTTCTTCCTGTTGTGTCGTCCGGATCTAGTACCTTGAACTCTTTACAGTCTACTTGACGGCATTATGCAATTTACTGGAACATCACATTCTAAATTTGTTGTAGGTGTTGTTGCAGTCTTGTTTTATAAAATTATACAGTAATATATTAGAAATGAACTACCTGAAGTAGCTTCGAAACGGTAGCCCATACAATTTTTGCATGATTATATTCGTGTTTTCAGCGCACGGGAATACTGCAGATTAAGGCCATTTATACCAGCAAGGATGTTATTGGTAACACGAATTCCCATTTATTTTCCCGAATAAGATTATCATATAGTTCAGGTTGTGCTTCCATGTAAAAATATTTAAGAAGACTCATTTTCTGTTCTTATTTGTGACTTTATTAAGTATCACGGAAAGCTGTTCTCAGTTTTCCTCGGTTTTTTTTTACGATGAACATCATCACCACTGTTAATCTTGCGCTCTGGATTTCAATCTGATCGGTTTTTGTCACTCGCCTACATTTTACCCTGAAAGACATCATTTTTCGATAGTCATTTTCTTCATGGTGTTTTTTCCATCTCTGCCGTAGAGCGGCTCCCAGGTTTCTCTATCGTTTTCCATCGCGTTATCCGTGTTGATATTTTGTGGGTTCGAATTCTTAGTTTCATCTGTCTTCCACTCCACCTTCATGCTTATGCGCGCATCGTCTTTGGTAGGCATTGACCACTTTTCTCCCCATCTGGACGCTGATTCAATTCCATTCGAAGCGACGATGATTTCAATTCCATTGGGAAGAAGATATGGGAATGACTGTGATACTAGATTTCTTTTCTTGTTCCAATCTCTATCATAGTTTTTATCTCAGATTTCTTGGCCTACTGAATGAGTGTGTTCACTTGCCTTTTATCATTTTGATTTTTATGTACCAAGCTAGTCCCTTCTCATTTTCGACATATATCTTATTCGGACCGCGTGGAACTCGTAAGAACTGTATGGTGCTTGGGATTCCCCAACTGAGAGACGGCTTACCGTGTTTTCCCGATCATATGATAGCTACCTGACTAACACTCATCGTAATCGCTCTGTTTCTAATTCGCTTCTCATTTCTGTCTCCACTTTTGTTCAGCTACGACATTGATCTGGATAGTTGGAGTCCAATCGCCTGCATGCGGTATCGAAGAATCGGGCTTGGAGTGGCTGTTTTGAATCGGTAAGACAGTGCCGTTTTAGTCGATTGGTCCAGTCAGCCACGACATGTGAAAAACGCCTCATGTTTGACATACCCACACCTCGCCACTTTTGCAGACTGCTCTACGCCGTCGGGGGTTTCGACGGAGAGCGACGTTTGGAAACAGTCGAGCGATACGATCCTGAGACAGCCAGTTGGGAGGAGTTGGCTAGCCTCAACCGAGCCAGATCAGGTGCCGGTAAGTTACGACTTTCATTGTGCCTTGGACTCTTACTCCGACTTGGCTCTAACTTGATGCCATGTTTTCCAGTTTACGCTGACTTCTAAACTAGTCACGGGTTTCCGTATTGATTGATGCGTTCTGAACACTTCAAGTCCAGTGTTGGACCACTGGCAAGCAAGCAGTGTTCGATAACACATGGTTTGCAACTGTAAACTGCTTCTTATACCTTCCGAAATGCAGTGGCATCGCGACATACGATTGTCTACCTTAATCAAATCAGCAATTACATCCAGCTGTTACACTCCGTGCGGACAGAGTGCTTGCGCTGGTTAACAGCGTAGTTGCGTTCTCTGCCGATAAGTCAAGGGAGCGTGAACATTATCCATGCCTGCGGCTCTTCATATTCATTACACATCTATTATTCTCGACCGTCTGGAATCTATGTGTGTGCCTACATTTCAGTAATGATTTCTGTTCAGTTGCCCAATTTGTATCCTCCACGCGCTTACCACAGAGGGAACCAGCGCGTGGTGGAATCCGGTACTCTGAAAACCAACATGCTATCCAAGCCATCTGTGCCTCATACTCACACAAATTGGTTGGACATTGTTCCTGTGAACTTCCTCATGTTGCAATCTAAAACGGAAAAAGAGATTAAGTTGTTTACCCTCGATCATGCGAACATGTTCCTTTCCAGAATCTACAGTTTTTATAAACAGAATTGCTTCTCAACTAGCTGTCATGTTCGCACACATATGGGCTGAGACGAACAAGTGGGATTTCATTTGTCATACACTATGTGAGAGATGCCCCCTACTAATCTTCTGATGGGAGCATAGACCTACACTCGTTGCTGTTAGCAACAATCTTCATTAGGATTAAACGTATAGTTTGCAATCGTTTGTCATTGTGAGTTCCTCTCAACATTGACTTATCTGCAGTTTGGAATCACCACTTCGCGGCTCTTCAGTTTCGATCAACAAAACACGGAAGAAAAGTAGAAAAGAGTTGAAGAAATAAAACTCGTCTCTTCGACTAGGGTGAGGAGGCACTCCCATGGACACTAACCTTTGACATCTTTTCTTTGGGGGTGAATTAAGTTAAATTGGAATGCAATTCCTACAGAATCTGAATGATTGCACAGTGCACACACGAAAGACGATAATGTTCTAGCGAGTTAAAGTATTCTTCACTTAGTTGGCTTCATTAGACTGTTGCAGCTGACGCTTCAGCCGTGATCATCTACCGAAGGGGGCGAATATTTGAATTGCATTCCGTACACCGACAGTTAACCTCTGACGTCTCGATTATCCGCATTTCATTCCAGAAACGCCGCCCGGTTTGAACTCTGACAGCCCCTTGCCTTAACGATCACAAGCTTGCCATGTAATCCGAGGACGCGGGTTCGAGCCTGCGTAGGCTACCGGGCGACCCTCGAAGTATCCTTAGTCCTCGTGCGACTGGTGGTGGTTGCGCAGCAACGAAACACCGGTACGCCGTACCGGCGTACTGCTGATGCCTTTTCGAGTGTATTCATCGATCTCCCATCGGAAGACGAAACCTTGGTCACTTGAACTAAGAGCCTGCTGATCGTACTGAAGGAGACGGTGCGCTATCTTCTTGGGAGCACCAGGCTCAAATGATACTTGGAACAGGCGATAGCCCGTCGGTCACCGCCCTGTACACATCTGGTGACCAGGTTTCTCCTTTCGAATAAGTGATTTCCGCCCTGCCGGCCTCGAACCAATCCTGACCCCGACCCACGTGGCTCCCGGTCTTATTCCTTCTGAATTACACTGGGGATGTACTATATGGATGAAGCACTGAACGTTGCAGCACAAAACACGCATGGTCTCTGTGCAACTGTACACAAAATGCAGTGACGGGTGAATCCGGATACGAACGCTGCTGTCATTCGTTGTCAAACGTCAGTATTTGCCGGTAATTGACTACTTGACCGTGTACTTTTACATGTCAGATGCTCAGCCTTTGCGCGATATCCTACATATGACTTCACATTGTACCAATACTGACCAAGAGCCCATCCGTTCGGTATCCTCGTCTTTGCCGACACCGGGAGACGGAAAGGAACATTTTTTAAGCTTGTCACTACGGAATCTAAGTCTGTAGGTCAAAGGAATGATTTAGGACACTACCGTATTACTGAGTCGAAGGCCTGACGGCTGCACGCTGAGGACATTAAGAGGCTGGTGGTATATAACCACTGATTGTGAACTATTGGTGGGAAAACCGGGAATAGTAGTAGTTTCAGCAACAGACCATCCATTCTCAATCCGTTGCATTGTTCCCCAAATGTTCGACAGTCACGCTTGAAGCTTCATCGTGTGCGTCATGTGACACGTTGCACATTGCACTCAAATCTCAGCCATGCTCATTGTGGCAAGTGGATCACGTGATCTCACCTCGCGAACGCCGTCCATGAGCACGGCTCATACGGAGTGCACACGTGCAACTTGTCACATGACGCTCGCGATGCTGCTTCAAGCGTGACCGATGCAAACGAATTGGGCTTAGTGCCTCAGTGGATTCAGTTGAACACGCCTTTGGTTGCTCGGTCAAACGCTCCTCATGCCTATGAGCTGAATACCAGTTTTATGGGACTGTGTGATGGGAATATCCTGTGAGTGAACGGATGAATCATAGGAGCGAGCTAGATAACCAATGGGATATACGCATAACGGATTCGATCATTGGACGCTGGTTGATCGATGTTCTTATGGGCTATAGTGAGTCCCTTATCGTTTGTTTGACTGAGCAAAAAGATGTCCCTCATGGTTTATAAAAGTTCACGGACAATATATATCGAGGCGTCCTACATGTCATACGTGCTGTAAATTTCGCCGAGTAAACTCTTCCGAATGTGCGCTTGTCCCTGTAGGACCGTTTCCTACGGCACCCCTAAGGGACAAGTCAATTGCGTGTCGAATGAGCGTGAAGAAGCTCACCTAAAGCTGCGTCGGATTAGCGTTTGTCCTCTTCCTGGATCAGCGGTTTTCCTCCGTATAGGTTGTGTTGAGGTCGCGTGGCCAGCGGTGCACTGATGCTCCTTCTCTCGTTCAATATTCTTGACTGTTCTACCTAAATAGGATATTCTTCCTCATATTCCTGGATTCTCATCCTTATGACTGGCGTTATTGCTATTTTAGCGACGTGTGCCAAGGCAACTGGATCCACTGCACGGGTCAGGTTCGCTAAACTGACCTACTGTTGTTTTTGGCTACGAAGATGGATGCTCGGTTCCCATGTGAGCACTCAACTGAAACAGTTGTTCCATTGTCCAGCGAACGACGGATGTAACCCCGTCTTATTATACGTCCCATGTGCCTGTCTTCCATCTCTGATTCTACCAGATTGAGCTAGCAGCTGGTGCCTGTCCTTCGCGGTTCAAGCGTCCACGCATTGTGCCATCTATTATTCATCAGCATCTATACATCAGCAACTTACCCATTGCATTCACCTGCTGGTGTATGTTACGCATCACTAATCAATAAACTTGTATACCGGGTCTAATGATTTGGTGGGTGGATAGTGCAACGCGGTCTAAACGGGAATATAGGCACGATGTACTCCTATAGCTTATGTTCAACTTACGAAAGCGGATTCTTACCTATCGATAAACCAATCATCAGCTTCACAATTTTCAGTACCGTAAAACCGAGTAACTTGGGTCAACTTTTTCGTTTAGAATGCCCCACACCTTTATCAGTGCTTTTCATAGCATTATTAAGTGATCTGCTCATGGGCTATAGTATAAGGCTGTAGAAAATATCGACTGACGTTTGTCCGTTGTTTTAAAATATCTACTATGGCCAAACTTCCCTCTTAACGGGGATACTTTGGCTATGAAGACAACACACACACACACACACACACGGAACCAATGTGCATATCACAAGGGTAAGATAGTCCCCCTGTTTCTACGTAAAAAATTACGTATCGCATCTGTAACATTCTTAAATACTTAAGCAAATTTCTCAAAAATGTTTCTCGACTTAGACAGGTTCTTGATGGTGAACACACTCGTCATCAGAATCAGAAAAGATTTCTAGTCGCTTGTCACTGACATCACCGACGGAGGACAAGTAATCGGCTACCTTTAGATAAACTTTGGCAACCGAGTCACCTACTGGTTCAGCACAAGGCTCCGTTCCGGTAACAAGCTCATCGGTTGGACCCAAGACACTGTTCCCAGACTGGACGTTCAGAGCTTTTTTCTTGCGTGGTGGTAAATTTTCTCCACAAATGTCAAACCTCATTTCTTTCAATTGTTATTTGAATACCTAAGAAACGGAGGTGCTGACGGTATCTGCATCTACTTAATTCTCCTCTGGAATTCTGCTCAGGACAGACTGGTGCTTTATTTTGTACTTGCCAGTTTTTTTAATCCTGGACCGCAAGTTTTCTGCTATACTTTCACCCATTGTAACTGGAAGCTGTTTGACTGGCCCCGGAAACCTATACTTCTGGTTGGTTTGGGCCATTTTGCCCTAGGCTTTTTTAGCTTTTGTCAGCATGGTTCTCCACTGGGTCTACATAGGTTGAAGGAATGCTTCATCTAAAGGCTGGTAGAGGTGGGTTGAGTTAGGTAGGAGGCAACCAACAGCAATATTGTTTTCATTGCAGAGGTTGGCAATGTGAAGAGAAAAACATGAACTGAGATTATCACCCAAAAGAACACAACGGCCAATTTTTCTGCGTCAGAAAGCTAGTGCATCATGCTGCAACTAGTCTAAAATGCAGGTGTTATCACACCAGCCTGACCTTGACCTGTTATGTGCCCAGTGGACCATTCTCCGTCCTAGTGTCTCAAAGCTTTTCGGCTTTGCACACTACCTATGGCGGCAGTAACTCTCCAACAGCGGTGCCAGCAAACCTCGGGCTAATTGCTGACGAGTTCATAATCCACTCGGTATATTTGGTGCCACTTTCAAAGATTACTTGACCAACTGGCTAAACTTACCCCAACATAAAAAGCTTATTGGGATAACATTAGC